TTTTATTTTATTTGTTTCTGATTATATTTTGTTTTCTTGTATTTTATCGCTCTGCTGACCCTTGGGGTCCATTTTATTTTGGTATACCTTTTCTAGGTACGTTAGCCTGTGACCACGGAAATTGGCCGAGTCAAGTGATGGATTAGTACGGAGAGATTGAGACAGAAGGAGGTACTGGATAGAGAGACCGGGATGGTTTTTAATGTGAAGACAACAACAACAACATAGATCTGTGGGTACCCTACAGAACCTAACCCTGTCCAGATGCACAGAATTTCAACACGTGAACGATCGCAGCACAGGTCAAATCGAAGTGGTCCGGGACTGACAGCTCACCAGAATTGCCAACGGGAAAGAAGTCGAGGACGTTCAGTCCGGAAATGGTTCGAAGCTGCTACAAGGTCTTGTCTGCTTTGGTAGCGGTGAGTTAACCCTCCGATATGGGTGTGGGTCTTAGTGAGGTGAATTCCGCTGGTTCCGCCCTGCTTATACAGTGTGGGGGGCGTATTGAAGTGCTCGTGGCGGCCGGTGGCGCCGGCTTCTTTGCGCCCCATGTCAGTGTTGCGTCGGTTCGTGAATTTTTTGGGGTCTCGAAACGTTTTCCGCAAATTGACAACCTCCTCCGCGTGTTGTGTCCTGGCGCGCCGGTCGATGTCGCGCCGGGGGGGTGTCTAGACGCCGAATTAAAATACGGCAACCATTCCAGCATGTTACCATGCACTCCGCAGATCATTGACTAGATCGTTTCGGATGTTACGTTAGGTCGTGCTCTCGTCTTCGACGTGCAGTTCATCCGTGAAATTTTGGGTGTGCGTGTTTCCCCCCTTGGGGTGGTGGACGATCCGAAATTCCGCATCATTCATGATCTCACATTCACGGCGGCTGGTGCGCAGTCTAGCGTCAATGCAGATACAGATTTTGATCGTGCCCCCGAGTGTCTGTTGGGACATGGTACGTTTCGATATCTTGTCGCGCGTCCTCTTTTTGCGCCAATTGGACGGGCCGACTCTTGACATTTTGCTCTGCCGTATTGATGTGCGTGAGGCTTTTCGCCAAGTGTTGGTCGACCCTTCGAGGGCGTCGGTATTCGGATACACGATGGGGGACGTGGTCGTCATCGACCTTCGTTGCCAGTTTGGTTGGCGTTCCAGCCCAGGTTTTTGGTCGCT